AGTTTAGCTTGTTAAAAATTTTAGATCATGTTATTTTGCTGTTGGCTTTTGTGTGGGGAATTGTATTAAAATTATTTTACACACCTTATAAATTATATGTCTTAATTTTTCATTTACATTCCTAGTTACTGTCCGTTTGGCTTATCCAAGGGTCTTTTTTTTTTTGCTACCTATTTGGTACATAAATGAAAGAGCATTGTAATGATATTAGATCATTTTTATGATTGGATGACAAATCATTTCTATTGCACTTATAACTTTATCTTTGTTCATGTTATTACTGGACCAAAGTCACCCTTTAAAGAGTTGGACATGAAAGCTCCAATTAGAGAGCAAATGTAATCATTAAAGGGACCAAAGTCAGCCTTTGATTGTGTGATTCTCGTGCTTTGATTCTATGATTATTCAACCTAGCCGAAGCAATGGTGGAAGGGTGGCAAAGAAGAAGAAGAAGAAGAAGCAACTAATAATGTCTTGGACTTAAGCACCTGCTTTGATTCTATAATTTTATTTTTAATTTTTTTTAAATAGGCTTAAGCGCTCAGCCTTGAGCCCTTTAAATAAGAGTCAGACATAAAAAATAGGGTATTAGAAATTTGAGCTTCAAGGGCTAGGCTCACAAGCGTTGGGTTTATAAGGGCTGAGCTCATATGGGTTAGGAAGTTTTGTTTTCCAACTCTATGATTGGATGCCATTCATTGGTGGTAAACACACATGCACACACGCACACACGCACACTCCTATTTAAAAATGTAAGGTACACACGCTCCTTTTCAAAATGTAAGGTGCAGGCGCACGCACACACGCTCTTTTCATTTAAAAATATAAAGTATTTTTTGATAAGTTGGATATTTAAAAATTTAAGATATTTTTAGTCTTTTGAAGTGTAATTATTACTTTTTTTTCAAAAGTGCCTCTATTGATGAATAATTTTATATTTATTATAGGGTGTTTCATAGGAGTAAGTATGAAAAGATAGAGTTAATTAAAAAGTATGTAACTACTTTACTGAAGGGTGAGATTTGATTAAAAATGTTTTATATTTTTAATTGGAGGGAATACATCATGAATGATTTTTTTTGGTCAACTTATATATATGGATTGTTATGGAAGAGGAATTTAGAAAAAATAAAAACATTGTCTAATTGTGTAAAAAAGATTAAAAAAAAGGGTCAAATAAAATATGTAAAAAATATTCAGGCTGAGTATCGTTTTTATTTTATTTTATTATATCTTTTGCGCATACTTTTTAACAAAAGTTGTCCGGTTGGGAGAGAAAAGAGGTGACATGGAAGGCGTAAATGCGAAGGGCAAAAGCGCCACGTGCTAATGGACAAATTAAATTTTCAAAGGAAAAATCTTGGTTAGGGTCTCCAGAGCATAAAAATTTATATTTAAGATCTAATAGAATTAGAGAATGCATTGCAAGCTTCAGTGTTTTTATTATAAATTTTGTTGTGGATGAAAAAGCACATTTGTCCTTGTCTAAATAAAATGTCTATATATACATAATATGATATCCACAAATCTTCAATACAATCTTAATGAATACACAATATATCTAGTAGATATTAATTTAAAATATATTGTTTCAATAAAAGTATGTTGTTCATTACGTATTTTATGTTGTACAAATATTACAGGTTTATAAATATTCATTGTGTTAAAAATTAATAAATATTATGCTGTATATTTATGAACATTGTGTTGTTCATCTTTTTGTTTGCTTGTACATTTTACTTCAAGTTAAATTATATCTACCAAAGTATTGTACTTTCATGAATATTGTATTAAAGATTTTGTAGATATGGTGTTGTATACATGTATATTTTATTGAGATAAAAATAAATACATCTTTTCATTTATAACAAAATTTGTAAGAAGAGTCATTGGGCAGTGTGTTTTCAAATTCTATTACTTTTAAATGCAAATTTTTTTGTTATGAGGTTCCTAAGTGAGATTCACCCATTTTTAAATTTAAAATTTAAAAATAAATTAAAAGTATATATAACTAGTACTCACATGGCATGATATTTGATGACACAGATATATATATATATATATATATATAAAAGTTTAAAAGTTTATGAGGCCTCATCTGATTCCATCATGGCGATTAATGCAAAAGAATAAATAGTGACTGCTTTAATCTTATTTAATAAAACTTACCGGAGTCTAATTTATATTTTATTCTTGAAATAAAAAAAAATAAAATTAAAACCAATGATCAATGGAGACAACAGCAAACATGACCATTAGCAATGAAGGATGGTGGTTGGTGGTAAAAGTAGTTGCCCAAAAATGGTGAGGGCTGTGATTATTAGGAAGGTATGGGAAAGGAAGAGGAGGAAGGTGCTATTTTAACTTTCTGAAAAAAATAATTAAATTTGTAAGGTTACTTTTCATCTATTTTTTTGGGTCTTTCCAACATCATTACAAGCTTTGATTGATTAAGTTTTATAATGTAAAGCTATTTAATTATCACTGTACATCAAAACACAACTAAAAATTGTTGTCACATTATCCTTTGATGCCTGCACCAAAATGACAATTAGCTCCTTTTTCAACAACAAATAATTTATTACAAATAAATTCATGAAAGTGATTTTTGGATTTTCTCGCTAAAATACGGCTTGCTCTTATCAGGTTTATTATAACTCTTGCTTAGAAACTAATTATGGAATAATTTATATATATTTCTATTTTCTAATTATAAAATTAATATAACTCAATACTTATTAGCGAAGAAAATCTTAACCAACAAACAAGTAACCAGCAACTAAAATATGAGGTAGTGATTAACAACCAACAAACTTGCAATCTTTTCGGATCTTCTTTGACACCGAAAATAAAATCAAATACAACAAGGTTAAATTCAAAAATCACATCATTTCTTATCTATTTTATTAATCTTCTTGCGGGTAATTAAATTTACGTTGTTCTTTGATATCAAGATATTCACAAATACTGTCATACAAAAGTGAATAAAATCAAATATAACAAGATTAGTATTAAGTTGTTCTTCTTTACACAATCTGTTTCATTAATATTCTTATCTAGAAAATAATAAATATATAATTTTATACATTTATAAAATTAATAAAAATATAAATTACGGCGAAAATTAAAATATCAATTAATATATATTTCTATATTTTTTAGAATTAGAATTAAAATTCTCCCTTTTTAACCACGGCAATAGTGGGACACATTTGAGTTTCTCTTTTTCTGTAAACTACGCTCTTCGTGCAGCAACACTTTCACGTGGCAATCCAATTGTGTTTCGAACGTACTCCCTCTTTTATATTTCTATAAAAATAACGATTACTTTTAAATTATTATATATTTTTTAAATTATCTCTCATAATTTATATTAACAAAAATAATTAATACATATTTATGTTGATTAACATATGACATTTTAGTTTAATTTTTTATTTTTAAATATAATTATTATGGTTAATTAATTTTTTTAAACTGTGTGATATAGTTTTTTCTTTTATGTATAAAAATGGAGTATTATATTGTTGGAATCAAATCGTCAACCACAGTGAGCATTGTGGAAGAGGTGGATTTTATTTTCATTTACTCTCCAATTTTTTTCTTTCCCTTTCATTACTAGTAAATTAAAGATTTTAATAGATTGTGGTTTGGGATCGACTTGAATCTAAATTCACGTCTTTTAATGGAGGCAATTCTTATATCAAGACATGCTCCTTTGGGTGTAACTCTTTAGATTCTATTATTTATATTTTAAGAGATTGTAAAAAATCTAAAAAGGTTTGGACAAAAATAATTAAATAACCTAAACTTAACACTTTCTTTTTTTTTTCTTTATATGATTGGATAATTTGGAAAGCAAGAAATGATGCAGGCAATGCATGTGCAAGGAAAATCTTTTGACAAAGATTCTACGCCCACATGTCTTGGAACATATGAAAAGAAATGTGCAAAAATATATATTTTGAAGAAGACATTGAAGACAGAGATATTGCTTTTATCAGCATTTAAGATACTCTTATATATCAATACTTTCAAATTAAAATTAACTTCCTATCTTAGAAGGGCGATGAAGCAATGGTTAGATGGTCTACCCCTGAAGAAGGATGAGTTAGATTGGATACTGATGGTTTCGTCAACATTTATGGTGTAGCTAGACTCGGATGTCTTATTTAGAACAATCAAAGTAACTAGATTAAATGAATACTCCAAATACATTGGTTATTATCTAAGTACAGCAATCGAGTTTATGTGCATCTTGAAAGGTTTAAACATTTGTTGGGTTAAAAAGTTCGATAAAGTTAATGTCTATTTGATTCTATAGAAGCTCTCTTGCTAATCCACAATAAGTTCTTTATTAACCACCCACTCTCTGCTACTATCAATAAAATTAAAGATTTCACTATGCGACCACAATAAGTTCTTTATTAACCACCCACTCTCTGCTACTATCAATAAAATTAAAGATTTCACTATGCGAGATTGGATAATCACGTTCGACCACACTTTTAGAGAGACAACACAAATGTGCCGATTGGTTATCTCATCAAGTCTACACTAACAATTTATGTGTTCAAATTTTCAATACCCATCACTTGATTGTTGTAATATTTTGTATGTTAAAATGACTTATCTTGTCAATTAACATGGTTTATCCACAGCCTTCAATTCAAATAAAAAAAAATTCAACATATTTATATTTTATAAAATTATTATTATTGTTATATGTAAAAGTATAAATAAAATATTATATAAAGAGGTTCTCTCGACCCAACATTAACCTATTTGTGTGTGTGTGGGTGTGCATATTTTGGAAAAGGGTTAGGTTAGGGGTAAGTTTTTTTAAAAAAGTTATAATTTTAAATTGTTTAGATTAAATTTAAATATATTAAATCTATTTATATATTTTTATATAATATTATGATAATAGTTTTATCAAAATTAAATCTGGCTGAGAAGTTTTGTGGGGGCTAAAAAGAACAACGCAATAGGAGAGACCCTGATCCGCGCAGCATCAATCTTTTAAAGATCCGATCTTATCTTGTGGGCCTTCTTTCTTTCCCGGTAACGCAAGTAAGCACCCGAAACCATTACTCTCTTTCTTCAGTTACCTTCCATTCCCACTTTTGCCGTGACTGTTTTTCACTATTGATCGGAGAAAACCATGGGAGGAGGAGGAGCTATGAGGACTGCCATGAAGGTCGCCGGCCTCGGCGTCGCCAACGCCAGTCTCCGGGGCGTGCCGTTGTCGCCCGTTGCCGGACAATCGGTGATGAAGGCATCGGTTCCTGCTTCCGCTGCTATGTCATCGCAGGGAGTGAAGGCTTCCGCAGCTGAAATGGCGGCGCCGGTAAACACGGCCGCATTATGGGACACGGATGATTGGGAATTCGCCGACACTGGTGACCTGGTTATGGAGGCCGGAGAGCCGATGCCTAGGGTTGTGTTCAACGCTGTGCCCAGCTTTCAGGAGGCCAAGGTTGCCACCACGGAATTGAAAGAAGCTATTGATCAGTAATTAAACTTCCCTGTAGCTATCGTTGCGATTTTGGGTTTTATTCCCCTTGGTTCGGAGACTAGAATTTAATTTAAAAATAATCATAAATTTGACTAGTTTAACTATTTATCAGTCAAAACCATGACATGCTAGTTAGAGTTGCTTATTCTGACTCGTCGAGTTGCCTGTTCTTATTAATTATTGTTAACTTCCACGAGGAACGATTTTTTTTTTTTCCCTGATTATTGCATGCATGATGTTTGGTAAGGTTTAAGTTATCTGTCATACTCACAACAACAATTGAAATCACGGGGAGGTTCCATATACTGTCTAATAGTGTTGGGTAAAATGTTAAATCTGATTCCTCTTGCCTTCTCTGCCATGTTTGGACTTTTGATCTCTTTCAATATCCATTATGATTATGGAGAGTTACATTACGCGTGGTCTGAAAGTCTTTGTGTGACTTCATCAGCTTATACTGATCATATGGATACATGGGCAATTTTCCCTCCATGAACCCTGTGGAGCTGGCCTCAGAAGAAATGGTGCATTGATGCTTCTTGGAACTGGAACCTAGACGAATGAGTCATCAATCCATTATTATACATACCAATGCTAGTATAGCTTTTTTTAACATACTGAATTCATAACTCAATATTTTGCAGAAGCTTCCAGCGTATGTGTCTTGTTATCATCAAATTCGTTAGTTGAGATGTTTAATAAAGATCAAATCCTCTAGTGCCTCTAAAATTTATATGTTTGTTATGAAGGGGATGAGTTTATTTGCATTTGCGTTTGCCATCATCTCATTCTAGTTTGAAACGACAAGCTTTAGCCTTAATGTTTCTAGTTAAGGCATTGTGAGAAATAGGGAGCATTGTAATCATTTATCTCGTAGTTTGATGTAACATAAAGAGTCAATTACGTTTGTAACAATTTTATTATTCTTTAAGCATTCTATCTACTAGATTACCAAGGGGCAAGGACCGGATTGCTTATGTTGAGACTAGAGATGTAGCTGTACTTCTTCTTGACCTATGGAAAGGGATATTAATTATAATTCTTTTATTTCCTTCCTTTTTCTTAAAAGGAAATTTTAGCATAGTTTTGTAGGAGCGCTTGGAGTTATAGGAACATAAAGTCATCTTCTCTCTGTAGTTTTTAAAGTAAACTTTGTTTTGAAGTTGGACATATCAATGGCTTTGTGCAGGATGCTTCAAAGTTTATCCAAATGTGAAGAATGCTCAATGGGAAGCGTGATTTCCCTCTTAGTTCCCCACATTAAATCTTTCTCCTTTATTTTATTCTTGTATCTAGAGAAAATTCATTCTATTTTAAGTTTAGTTTGGTAACCAACCAAATGGCTGCTTTCGATTGGAATTGATTTTTCTGTTAAGAAAAGTCAATGAAGTCCGAGAGGTATGTTTTGGTAATAAATAATTAATTATAGCTGCCTTCTCTTTAAACACTCTTCCTTTGACAATGTTATGATAAAGTATATGAAATTTTATATAACAACAAGTTTTATCCCACTAGGTGGGTTTGGTTGCATGAATTATACGACATCATTGTGTTCTATTATTTACCAAGCTTTTATGAATGTTGTTAATTAAGAGGTCTCTATCAACAACTTTTATAGGTGTTTGCTTTGGCCTTTCCTTGCCCCTCTTTACAATGCTCAAAATTATTCATTTTACTCTCCTTATTGGTGTCTCCTGTGGTTTTCTTTGTATATATTCAAACCATTTCAAATGGTTTTCTGTCATTTTCCTCTCAATAGATATTATGCACACTTTTTCTCATATATGCTCATTTTAGATTTCTTCTTTATATGTACGTTCGCACATCTATCTTAACATTCTCATTTTTGCTACTTTAACTTTATGCTCTTACTGTCCTTTTAAAGCCCAATATTCACTATCCTGTAACATTGCTGGTTTTATAGCAGTTTGATAAAACTTATCTTTACATTTATTGATATTTTTTGATTACAAATAACTCATTTAGCCTTTCTCTAATTAAATCACCTAACTTGTATCTTTTATGCAACATTCCCATCATGCTGAATAATAACTCCGAATATCTAAATTTTTCTACTTGAAATATAATCTAATCTCCTAATTTTACTGCCAAATCACTTTTGACTAATCTCTTATTAAAATTGCAATATAATATTTTGTCTTACCTCTATTGAGGCGAAAATGTTTTAACTCCAATGTCCTTCTCTATATCTCAAATTTATAGTTAATCTCTACTTTTGTTTCTGCAATAAGGACTATATCATTTGCAAAAAAACATGCATTTAGGGATTTTCTCTTGAATATGTTCGGTCAAAACATCTAGAACTAAGTCAAACAAATAAGGACTCAAAAATGATCCTTGATGCAGTTTAATTTTTATATGGAAGTCTTTTGCTTCATCGCCAAATATTTTTATACTAGTTATTGCTTCCTCATACATATCTTGCATAGCGCTAATATAGGCAATGTGTACTCCTTTCTTTTTCAAGGCATTTCAAAATACTATTAGTATGTGGTCATGAGTTTTTTCCAAATCAATGAAAACTATGTGTGAATCTTTACTTTTATATCGATACTTTTCTATTATTTCCTTAGTAGATAAATTGCCTTTGAAGTCGTCCTACCTGGCATGAAACCAAATTGATTATTAAAAATAGCAATCTCCAATCTTAACCCATCGTCAATCACTCTTTTCCCCAATTTCATTGTATGACTCATAAAATTATATGAAATTTTATTCACATGCTTATGACAGTTGATCTGAGCCTATCCAAGCAGATTGTGAAGTGGAGTGGTTCAAAAGTTAAGCTGGGAATAGATTCTTCAAATTTATGATCATCTTATTGCATATTCCACAGTCATTGTTTACTAATTGTCTCTTCATGTTGTCCCCGTAACGTGTGAGGAAATCTTATGTAATTTTGTAATTTAAGTTTACTTCCCCTCCTTTTTTTTTCAAAAAAAAAAAAAAGAAAAAGAGATCCACGTGGTCCTGTCACCAGTGGTTATTTCCTTTTCTTTTGTGTACCCCCCCTTGGATTTGTATTGTTGGTCGCACTTTATAGGCAGGGCTTTCATTATATTTAGTGTTGTGTCAATTCTCTCAATTCTAAGATCTCTCTTTCTTGATGTTTTAGGATATACTTGTCTTCTAGTCCTGCCGACAACCATGATGTTTCTTCTGACGGTAGCCGAGTCTCTGTTCAGTCTCCTCATTCAGAGCTGGAGATTAAATCTTGTGAACCTGAGCTGGTGCCAAAGCATGCCCTTCAAGCTTTTCAATTTCTGAGTGCAAGTTCTGAGGCCCAGGTGAGTAATAACATGGTGATTGCTTCGTCTCAACTTGAGAATCGAAGCATAACTTGAACTTATCAGCATTCAGCAATCCAATTCCATGGAAGATCTAAAAGAGGTTACTAATTTCATGCTTGGATCCTGTGATTGACTCAAATCAATTTCACCATCTTTGGCTGTATCCAGACCGTTGTGGCTTCTATCGTTTCGGACCCCAATGTATGGACTGCGATAATGCAAAACTCTATGCTGAATGATTTCATTCAATCACAGGAGAAAGGTAGCTATCATTAATCGGGTCTGCTCTCTCACAATTTCCATTACTCTAATAATTAATTCTAACACCAAATTCTGCTGCAGTTGCTGGCTCTGAACCAAAGAAGTCTTACATAAAGCTGGAAGAGTTGCCTGATTCCGATGATGAAACTAGAAGCCCAAGAAATGGTTTCCTTCATGGTTTCAATGGTTTAATGCAGAACTTTAAGCATACGGTAGCTGAACTGATAAGCAGTGTCTCGAGTTACTTTCACAACTTGTTTGGATTCTCATCCCCTGAGAAGACAGGTCCTGATAGTGCTGAAAAGGCAAACACATTCTTTACAGATCACAGTACTATGAAAGGAACTTTCATGGGATTGGCTGTGCTGGTTGCTTTGGTGGTTCTGTTCAAGCGAGCTTGAAGCCCTTTTCATGCAGCATTGTGAATTCGCCGAGCTTTCGTATCTAGAGATGTGCTTGATCAGGTTTAGTTTAACTTTTGGCCCAAATGTCTGTCTTAGCATTTAGTTTTGTATATAAGATGCACGTGGGTTTACAGCATGTGAAGTGGATATTACTTGTCCAAGAAGGTATTTGCTATGCGAAATTTCCCAATATTGTGGTATTATTGGGGTCTAGGAGTGAGATATTTGTTGAACGTTGACTTCTCTAAATATTCTGTGAGGATTCTTTTGTTCCCCAAAGTTAAATGACAAAACCAACCCTCTAGAGTGATGTTATTATATATGTGTCACCCGGTGGAAATTTTCTGATATATTAAATTTGTTGATTTAGATTGTGTGATTGGTCTAAATTTACTCATTAAATGAATGTCCTAATTAGTGGGTTTTGAAAGGTTTTTACCGGTTTTATTTGTATTTTGTTGTAATTTTTTTGTTTGTTACCTTTTTTGAAGTTATATAATAGCTCATCTTTTCACTCAAAACAAGGGCTGTCTTAGTTATAATTATTAGATTTTATTAGCACTTGAAAATGATGCAAAGATATATATATATATATATATATATTATATTTTTTTTTTCTTTACAAATTCAAACAACTCTCATGAATCGGGCACCTATCACCATTTTTAAAAAAATTCAAAACCACCATTGATTTGATTTGTGATATAATGTGGGAGGTGATATTTGATGTTTTTAAAAGGTTAATGATTAAGATGTATTGTTGCTTCTCAACTATTTTCAAGGTACTTAATGTTTTAAATTATTTGTCATAGTAATTTTATCATGAAAAACATAGCATGTTTGTTCATGATGTTAAATATTCCAACATTAATTATTAAAAATGTTGATTGGAATTTAAATTTAATAAAAAAATGTCACCTGACATGCTAATTGTATTTAAGTTAAGGTGTATTTTGTTCTTTTTTAATTATTTTAGGGGTGAAATTATTACAACGCAAATAGTTAATGGCACTAGTTGTTTCTTGAATGATAATTTAGGAGCAAAAATGTATTTTAATTTAAATCCATTTAACATGATATATGATATTTTTGACCAAACTTAAATTTCAATCAATATTCTTTTAAATTTTAATATCTCGTACATCTAAATGGGGTGAATTTTAGTTCGTCAATAAAACCCAAATTATAGAATCTCTTTGCTGTACATCTGGTTAACAATGTAGATCAATTGTCAATTGATTGGGACATGTATTATTGTGGCCGTCATTTCTCTAAAATTTTCTTTTTAATCATTTTATCTTCTGCTCAATTTCCTTATGAAAACTTCCTTGCTTTCCCATTTCCTTGTAATCTCTATACTTGATTAATATAATTTGTCTTATTGTTTAAAAAAAAAAAAAGGTTTACGACGCGGAAACAATACAAATATGTTAACTTTGGAACCACGCCCTCAGAGGCTCAGGGCAGTGCATGGGGGAGATAATGCAGGAGATTCAAGTCTCCTCAGCATATATGACCATGAGAAGGAGCATTTTCAATGAAATTCAAAATGAAAACAGGATACTATAAAATCAAAGAAATTCAAATAAAAGATTCCAGTATCTTTATGTACGATCAATCATTCTTATTTATTTCGCGTTGCAAGATCTAAAAGATTTGTAGAGCCTATACATAATTTCCAAAGCCTCAAAGTTATTATGAATAGTTTATCTTTCAAAACATAAAAAATATTAAAATAAAACACGAATAAAATTTATTCCCACAAAAAAATCAGTTCAATTAATTTAAATTACAACTGATCAACGAAATTGATTGAAGGATTAATGATTAAAATTATAATTAAATCATAGTTAGATTGATTATAAACAAAGCTTGTTATTGAATCGATTAAAACACTAGTTCAACTGGTTGGATAGACATTAATAATATGCTTTTATTCAAATGAGCAAGGAACTCATATGATTCATACGAGCACGTTACCTCCATAATCAGTTATACAACAATTAAAGGAACAGTTCAAGACTTGGGTCTGTGTATCAAGTTGCAAGAAGCCGACATTGCGATGTTTATCTTACGGTTCAAACAAAATCACATGTAATGCTTGCAAAACTCCATGATTGTTGTTCGTCTCTATGTTATGTGAAGTATAAACAATGCTATTGCTCGACGCCATTATCTGATCAGACGAGATGAAATTAAAATTTTCTGACATATTTTCCTTTTTTTTTTTTGGTTTATGAAGATGGTTGTTTCTTGTTAGAATCATTAAAAAAAAAAAATTGGATGGAATTTGCATAAAGTAAAAGAAATCCAAGCTATAGGATCCCCTGTACCTACGTAATTTGGAGAACCGTTTTGCTTTATTTGTGGATCAGCCTCTCCTCTGTTTTGTAACAGAAGCATCCAAAAACAGGACATAACATCAAATTAATGGTTTATAGAAACTTTAATGTTGATTGTTCATCTGATCAAAGCATCTTAGACGGAACAATAATTTGATGTCTTAATCTACATCAAAATATATTTGCCGGGTCAAAACTATGTTCTATGACTATAATCTAGTTGCAAGAAGCCAAACTTGTTGTATTTATCTGGATCTGGATTCAGTGACTGTCCCAAATCTTCTTACTCAATGGTGTCCCAACTCCTACATGACAATAACAATCTCTATAATGTCATGTTGGTTAAATTATTGTATGATTGCTGGAGTTTGGAGAAGTTGGTACAAAATACAGGAAATTAAACTCTAAATCATAACTCTAGCTTTTACTATATGCCATATAGTTTAATCCAACAATTCATATGGCTGCAAAAAAAAAAAAAAAAAGATTTAAAGACAGTCATAAAACTGTCCCTTAACTCACTACACCAATTAATTTATCTCTGGTAAAGCATGAATTTTCATGCGTTGGTAAAATCTTACAACTACGGCACAGCCATTCTCTGAGTGGGAGAATTTGGGCACTTATAGAATTCAAATTCGTGTTTATCTCACAGTTCAAACAAAATCACAATGCTTGCAAAACTACCTATACTTGTTTGTCTCACCGCTCACATCACATCTAGTCCAATTGCTTAAAAGTATAAAACAAGGTATCTATAGAATACATATGTATGTATGTATATATATTTTTCTGTAACAGAATGCCTCTTCGATATTAAAAAAAATAAAAAATAAAAAAATAAAAGAAGTGGCACCTCAAACAGTAGCTAAACCAATAACAATACATATTCAACGAAAATGAACATTGAAATGTCAAGAAACCTACATGCTACAAGCCACATAAGCTTTACAGCATAATTAATTATCAGACCTGACAGTGAAATTAAAATTTTCTGATATATTTTGATTTTTTTTTAATTATAAGATGGTTGACATAGACCAATAAAGAAGGAGATCGATGATGGGTTGGAAATGGAATATGCATAAATAAGCAGATTCAAATTATAGGATCTCGTCCTAAACAGTAAAGGCTCGTATTTGTTGGGACAAGTGGTGATAATACTCCTAGATTTTTCAAGATACCAAGTAAGGAAATAAAAAAAAAATATAGAATCCTGTGTCATATGATAATTTGGAGAACCCTAAATTGCTAGATAATCAGCCTCTGCTTTGTTTTGTAATAGAATCATGATGCCCAAATACAACAAATATACAGTCAATGGTTACTTAATGACCACACAAAACTATCAGAGAATCTTACACGGAACATCAATTTATGCATATTCTACATCAAAACTGATAATCATTTGCCGTGTCAGAAAAAAATGTTCTATGTTATAGTACACAACAAAAATCTAGCAAGTTTTTGTGTTTTATTCATAATTTATAAATTTTTATTCATTTTAGTTTATCAAATGCTAAAATAATAGGGGGAAAAAATACTTCATTCCCCTTAATTTAATCTCCCCATGCGCTACTATGCCAATTCATGCATTATTATATTACACATATTTTGAAGTGAGACGTATTATTACCATTTATAAATAGTATTTTTTTTTCTATATAATATATGTACGCATATCGGTTAAGGTTTAACTACATGTCTACATATATCAGTTTAAAACACGACAAAACAATTTGTTAACCGAAGAATAAAGTACTTTCCTATTAAGATAATTTAAATGAATAAGATATAACTTTGTAAATTTTGTTGCAATTAGATTGAAAACACACACTTTACATAAAATATAAAGGCTAAAGTATAATTTTAATACTTTAACTTTAACTTTATGTAAGGTTTTATTTTTATTTTTTAATTTTAAGAAGTATATTTTTAATGTTTTAATCCTAACACCATTAGTTTTATTATAAAAAAAATTTGACATTAAACTTTTAAATATTAACTAAATAGTTTTAAATGTTGACTTATTAAGTTTATTTTTTAAAAATAATAATGATTAGTTTAAAAAATAATCATTTAAAACTAACGATGTTAAAGTTAAAGAATTAAAAACACACTTTATAAAATTACGGGACTAAAATAAAATTTTAAATAAAATTAAAAGATTAAAAGTATACTTTAGCCAAAGAAAAAATATGTTGTCATGTTGCTCATAACTTATAAACATTATAATTTTGAAAAGATTGAGGTCAGTAATATAAGCTCTTATTCTTTAAAAGAAATGGGTGGGATTTAATTTTATGTATTTTTTGAGAAAACCAATTTCGGTGCTAAAAATAAAAGAAGCAGGAGAAAGAACCGGCCAAGAGGGTTTAGCGTTTTAAAATGAAAAAGAACGTGTACTAAAATTGAAAGTTGTACGCAATTGGAGGTGATGATAAGAAACTTGCCAAATTAAAGTTCTACAATAGAACAGCGCATCTTAATTAAAACGAGATCCACAATATTAAACGTAAAATAATACTGCATACTTCAAAAACCAGAACAGTGAACTTATTTGCATTTTATTTAACTAAAATTTAGATGGTGGCATGATCAATGTATACTTTTAAACTCAAAAAATATCTATAAAAGTATTTATAGAAATCGCTTGTCAACAAGATTTTTACATCAATAACAAGATTTAATCTCATGATGTTATAAGTTATGAGTTAAATCCTTACTAGTTAGATTAAAATTTATTTTTTATTTGTATTTTGTTTTTAAATAGTTTGCAAGTTGCCAATAAAATATTTGTTATGAAGAGCATTCCATCTCTATATAAAGCATTCACTGGCAGCCCTTTGGCATACCAACCCAAGAGCTTCTCTCACAATCTATATCTATTCTTCATAGAAAACACATACATTCACGTATGGCTTCCAAATCCCAAAGCCACTGTGTTCTAATTCTGCTGCTCATTCTCACAATCTGGACTTCTGGGACTATGTCGTCTCGGAAGCTTCAAGAAACATCAACATCGTTATCAGAAAGACATGAGCAATGGATGGCCAAGTATGGTAAGGTGTACAAGGATGCTGCAGAGAAGGCAAAACGCTTTGAGATATTCAAGAACAATGTTGAGTTCATTGAATCCTTCAACTCTGCTGCCACCAAACCCTACAAGCTCGGCGTCAATCAGTTTGCAGATCAAACCAGTGAAGAATTCAGGGCCATTCGCAATGGCTTGAAGAGGTCGTCCCATGGATCATCACTTAGGACCATGTCTAAGACAGAGACGACGTCGTTTAAGTACGAGAATGTCACTGCTCTTCCTGCTTCTATGGATTGGAGGAAGAAAGGAGCTGTCACTCCCGTCAAGGACCAAGGCCAATGTGGTAAAGCTTATTATTGATCACACTGCATATAATCATAATCATAATCATTCATTCTCATCTTTTATATTCTCTTTTATACTACCAAATAAACCTAAGCTTGAATGTCTAAGCATATAATGGTGTCAGCTAGTGTTACTTTTGTTGTTTTACTACTTCAATTTTGATCATTCGAGCTTGAGACTTTTAATGATCTTTTTTGTAACGCTTAATGTAATGTCTCAAATTTTTTTTTTTCTTGTTTCTTTTGATTATTATATTCTACATAAAATAAAAAATATTTTGATATTTTATGGTGATAAAACAGTGTTTTTTATAGTTTTTTTTTTAAGAAAAATGCCTTAAAATTGCATAATTTTGTTTATTTTCTTTGAAAGTGGTGAAAATTAAAAGGCAAAATTACACCATTTTGTCGCTGTAAGATATCAAAATGTTTCCCATCTTATATAGAATCTAAATGATCACAAGAAACAAAAGAAAAGCTATTGGATGGTTGAGGGATTGTATTAGAGGCACCTGCTCGTTTTATTGAGATATGGGGAGAATATTGAGTAAATTAATGCTTAATTATGTCAACTTTTGTTTACATAAAACCAGGAAGTTGTTGGGCATTTTCAACTATTGCAGCAACAGAAGGGATTCACCAATTAACCACAGGGCAACTAGTGTCCCTCTCAGAGCAAGAGCTTGTTGATTGTGATACTAAAGGTGTGGACCAAGGTTGTGAGGGTGGTTACATGGAAGATGGGTTTGAATTCATCATTAAAAATGGAGGAATTACCTGCGAACAAAACTATCCCTACACAGCAACTGATGACAAATGTAACACCAACAAGGAAGCATCCCATGTTGCTCAGATTAAGGGTTATGAGAAAGTTCCTGTCAACAGTGAGCAAGCACTGCAAAAAGCTGTGGCCAACCAGCCCGTGTCAGTCTCCATCGATGCCGGAGATGGTTCTTTCCAGTTTTATTCGAGCGGGGTTTTCACCGGAGAATGTGGTACTCAGCTTGATCACGGCGTGACTGCGATTGGTTATGGTGTGACTGATGATGGTATTGATTATTGGCTTGTGAAGAATTCATGGGGGACTGAATGGGGCGAGGAAGGGTATGTGAGGATGAAGAGGAACATAGATGCCAAGGAGGGTTTATGTGGAATTGCCATGGATGCCTCTTATCCAACTGCTTAAAACCTTCACTATATTAATTATTAATGTATGTATCATCATGTCATGAATTTAATCTGTTTCTATTTTCAACAATTATTAATGCAAATATTATGATTTCCTTGTACCCAACCACTACTGGATATATATACCCCCCCTTCTCATTTTATGCTGTTTAATTTAAATCGCTCCAATTCAAATTGGAAAATATGGATTTTATTTCTAAGAATTGATAGTTTTATAAAATTTTAGAAATATTATTTAGGGTTTTGGTCGATCGGCCTACTTTCCCATGCTTGTGTTGTGTAACTGACCGTGCATACAAAATCATCTTATATTATACCATTTTAACAAAATATTGGATAAATGAACGGCAAAGAAATTTATTTGCATAAATAAATATAAAAGTTTATATGGGTCCATTATAAACTATTGAAGCTTATTGTGGTTAAATATATACACGTAACTCAAAAATCAGGAAATATGAATAAATTTACCCATAAATTCATGTATTCTTGACATCGTGATGGTAGGGGTTACATCTAGAACAAAGTTACGTTTATATGAAACAAATTCTCATAATTGGTTTCTACTGTTTGCAATGTTGCTGTCATCGTTGGCAAACAAAAATAAAATAACGATAAAAATAAAAAAAAATAAAAAATTGTTGCTGTCATTGGCACCGGCCTCTACGTCGTCTTTTTCATATACGTGGCACAGATATTTTATGATCAGTCCTCAAATGTCACCATCTTTCAGGACCCATTATTTTTTTCTTCGAAGAAACAAAGTTCATCTACGCGCAAATAACAGAAAGAGCAGAGCTGGAGTGAGAAAATTTTATTGAGGATCGAGATGACAAACATTGTGATGATTAAAAAAATTTAATTTATATATATTATTAACATAATATACATATTTTAACGTACATGTTTATGTTCAATTTTACACATATATATATATATAATATTCACATTTTAAGTTTTGTTTATTAATTTTTCATGACATAAAATAATTAATTATCATGTTTATGATAAAATTTTAACAATTTTCTTCTCAATATAAAATATCATTAAATCAGAAAATATTTTATCTTTCTCATGAGCATTAAATAATTTAATTTTTTAATGAGCATCTTGACCTTAATTATTACTCAAATAGCATCTAAATTCTAAACTTTTAAAATAAGTAAAAACTCTCATCAATTTATAAATTTCGAGCAAATTATCCTTATCGTTTATCCATACAGCGTTGACCCATGTGTAGTCTAGTTAGCATGTCACGTGTTAAGAAGGAATTGGTGTCACATCAGCTTTAATTGGGCTTCACAAAGTCAAAAGTAATGACAGTTATATATAAATTAACTATAGGATAATTTTCTATTCAAATAATATTTTAGAGTTTAGAATGCTCATTTTAAGAATTTAAGGTTTAAGATATTATTCAAGCAATAATTTAAAGTTTAAGATGCTCATTTTAAGAGTTTAAGGTTTAGAATGCTATTTGAGTAATAGTTTAGGGTTCAGGATGCTCATTAACCTATAAATATATCAACCTGATAACAATGTTCAATTTTTATAAATTCCTTAGGTCAATGAGATCTAAGTATATCATAATAAAAAACTATTCATATAATAAATTTTAGTAGCTTGGTTTTATATTATAAAAAAAGAAGTAGTTTTTTGAAGAAGAACAAATATTAATTATAGTCTCTTAACTTTTGAATAAGTAATTTTATGATAAACATCAAACACGTAACATTTAATATATATTGAAATTTTTGTTGCAATACTTGACAAAATTTATTAATAATAATTTCATAATTTATTTATCAAATATAAAATGAAAGCAAAATCAAATGATATAAATGCTTTAAAAGCAACTGTAACATTATCTTTTTAAAAATAAATAGATTATATAATTGACAACTATATCTTTAAACTACTAAACAATTGTATTATACATATATAAAAGACTATTATAAAATTAAAATAAGAATTTCATATAGTATTTTAAGCTTTTTTATAATATACTAATTTAAGAGATAAAAATGTATAACCTATATTTTACTAAAAAAAATTAAAAAGTTAGAGGGTTGTGATTTATTTCCACCCGTACAGAAGAGATCCAATTCATAAAATAATGGCAATTTGTAGAGTCTAAAATTGGCCTTGTAGGGAAAGAGATAATTTTGGTTTCTCGGGGAAAAAAAGAAAGGAGATAATTTTATGTGTGGTTATACTTATATGCACTTTCCCAATTTACAAAACGCCATATTCATCGATTCAGAACAGGCTAACAAGATATATTCTCCTTTTCAACCTGCACTTTCAGCCAAAACAATGTTAACGTAATTTTGGCTGCAGAAAAATCTTTCAAATTATCCGAATTAGTTAAATTAATTAAAGTTCAGCCCACCTTCTCAGTGAAATCTTAAACATGTCAATTTTTCACAAGAGATCTTTAAGGAACATAACGCTTATGGAACCATTATTTATTGAGAAGAATCATAAAATTATTATACTTAAATTGAAGGATTAAATGATAACGTGGCCTTTTTTTTTACCCCTAATTGATAGGTCCATTTTATACATTATTTCTGATATGATTTAGCTCCTAATTTGAAGTAATTGTGGTATAAAAATAGTTAAAAAAATAGAATATATTTGTCTCATTGAGTATTTTATGTGTTGTGTAGAGAAAAGGAGTCAAAAAGGATCTAAAACGTCACGCCTCTGGTTACATTTGGTCGTAAATGAGGAAGAGCTAAAAAAGACAGTTCATGCTTCGACCGTGGACAAACAAAATTACAAGGGATGATCGCGGGTGGATGAAGAGGCTGTTATGTGATTTGGCCGGGGGCGGACAAAAACACAAAAGTCACGACCACAGGCTGATGAAAAATCAGAAATGCGCATTAGCTGTAGAATTAATCATGAATTAAAATAAAAAGACCAAAGAGACTTGAGCTAATGGGCTTTTAGGACCTTAACGAGGCTCATGTAGATGATCCAATTTTGGATCCTTGAGAGCTAGGAGGCTGAGCACAGAATTTGGAAAAGTTCTTTTGAGTTGAGAGTTTTCTTCTTTTCTCTTTTCTGGTTTAGTTTACATCTTTTATTAGAATGTTTTGTTATAATTCTATAAGTTATTTCTAAACTCTCAATTAAGATAGAGAGTAGCCTGTTTCGGATAGATTTTCTCTTTAAACTTAGTTTATTTATTTTTTTCGGTTGAACATGAACTTTTTTTTGAGAATTAATGTTTATGTTTATATTTATCTCTTTTGAGTTAATTATCTTATTATATAGACGGTTGTTATGTGATATATTTATGGATTGTTTGATAAACTGAAGATGAAAAACTAACCTAAACCTAAAGAAATATACACATATAACTAAATTAAAAATAATTTAGAATTTATCATAATTTAAATCATAGCTTTAAGATTTAATTACTACCTTTTGAGTTAAATGAAAGCCAATTCAATGTTAATTAGACATGACTTATTTATTGAAAGGTAATGAGGATATCTTATAAACAGTTGTCATTATAAGTGAAAATAAATAAATAATTAAATTAGAATAAGTCATTATAATAGGTGAATTTTAATCCCTAGCTCTCACCTAATTGATTGGTTTCATTAGTTTTAATCGATGCTTTTATCTATTCTTTAATTAATTATTAAATCCCCTTTTCAACTATTTGCTTTTTTAATATAACAAAGTTACTTGTTTTTTTTTAAGCTTGACTCCTGTTTTTCCTCAGGCTTGACTCACTTTTAAAATACTCCAAAATTTATTAATATATTAATCTTGTGCACTAGTAACAGCGATCACTAATTTAACACATTTTGAAAAAAAGGAGACACACATGCATACACATGAACATGTCAACATTGGATTTATACATAGAACATCTTTTAAGTGAGAGGTGGTGCTACTACTCAAACAATTAACTATTGATTAAATGATAAAAACAACCAATTGACCGTTATCAGTTATGGATGTTCTTGCTCCCACATATCATATACCTCTTAGTAAAACTTATAACTTTTGCTTATAAAATAATTTAAAATAGATTTTGGCCTCTCACTCTTTATTTTCTTTCACGTTGGCCCCTCAACCAATGAAATCGATCCGTCCCTGACCGTTATACTTTTTATGGAATGAAACAATAGGCCCGTTTGGTAAGCTGAAATTCTATCCTTAAAATTGGTAATGGAAATGGAATTTTAAAACTGGTTAGTTTGTTATGGTATGAATCACTCTCGCTTCCATGCGAGGGACCACGAAAATGGCTTAAGCTCCATGAAATTGTTATCTTTTGGGACAATTATACCCTCATCTATCTTATGCATTGACAATTTTCCCCCTCTAGCACTTGACCGCTTGTATTCCCCTCTCTCTTCCTACGCCCGATGGCCTCCCCCACTTCGACCTTCTCCTGGGTTTTCTTTTCCGACAACGAGCAAAGACGAACGCCATTTGAGACAGAAATATGGGTCTTCATTTCAAGCTTTCTCGCTTTCATCAATGGAATATCTCTCCAAATTTTGACAATAGTGATTACAAATACATGTCTTTATCTCTGATGCAACCTCCCACCCAATCATCATCACCGACGGAAAGATCGACAAATCCTTGAAGGCACGAGTATTGGTTCATTTCTTCTCCATGGTGCATCTGGGTCTTGGGTGTGATTTCATTTCTTCTCCATGGCCGCAACCTTCCACAAATCTGCGAATGGAGAGACGAACCAGGGTATGCGAACTACGAGGAAGCATCCATATGCTGCCGCATACCCACTGATGCTGTGAAAACTCAAATGCCTTTGAAGAAACGAAACCAATATGATTCCTATGACCTCTAGCGATTTCGCTATCTCTCCTGCCTTCTGCTTCGTCTTCTTCATGATTTCTTCCTCTCGTCTTTACTAGCATCTGGCCGAAGCTCAATGGCATATTTCATCTCCCTCTTCATGACTTCTTGTACCTTCTGCTTCATCATCCTCTACCTTCATTGCATATTATGATTTTGTGTATATGGTTTTGGTTAGTTGATTATGCCAAATTGTAGCTGACGATGTCATTGTTGATTCTGGTGGAGTTTTTTTTAAAAAAAAAAAAATTTATTATTTTGAAGGGTATTTTTGCTTTTACTCATTT